CTAGAATATTTTAAATGCAATATTTAAGACATTATATTCATATGGAATCCCAAGCATGCTTAACAAATCACTTTGGTTATATTAAACGCCAATTTATTATTTTTTTTAGGTCTGCTTACGCTACCGAGTTTTGCACTGCGTGATAGTCGAGCGATAATCTCTGTCTTCCTGCCGCTCATAGTCAAATCTGTCGTGTAAACAGATCGGAGATTATCGCCGCGATAGGAACTTTCAAATCGTACAATCGATTTCGTAGTGCGCAATAACATCGGCAATTGTCACGAGAAATTCTCGTTACCAAGATCGCACACAACAATACAAAYCGATCTAAAATGATTTACAAACGTGCACTGACGGGACCATGGAGACACTGGTGAAAAACGCACTGCGCATGTCCACAGCTTTCCCGCTGAAATCTGCCTAATTTCCTTTGTAAAGCGATTTTTGTGAAAGTTTTTTACAATTTATAAGCTCGTTCACCGATATATAAGATTCTTATTTCCATCAATCATTGTTCATGATAGGTCCTTTTAGTATGTAGTTTCTATTTTTATCTTGTCATTTCTATTTTGAGAAAATGAGGTTTTTCGTAGTGTTTTCTGTGTTGTCGCTGTAAATCGCCAGGCGCTCTGTTTACAGATTTGAAGACGCGAGCGCTCACTGGCGGGAAAGCTGCGGACATGCGCAGTGCTTTTTTCACCAGTGTCCAACATGGACATCACGTTCGCGAAATAATTTTTGATGTACATTTATTCGTTTTTTGAGAGCCAATGTGGAGACCTGCGCTGAGATTGGCTGCTCCACTCTACTTCATGCCCTTTCAGAAAAAAAAATCACAAAAATGGCAACTTGGCACGTAGATTTGCCTGGCAAATGATAAGATATCACTAAAGAAATCACGCACTTGTAAATTTGATGTAAATATGATGTAAGTGTCCAAAATGATGTAAATTTGATGTAAATCAAAAGATGCGCAGTTTTCTCCAGCGTATTTTCATAGCTTCAAAGCAAAGCGGTTGTGGATAGGATAAAACACTTATTATGCTATACAAGCTTATCGCCATTGACTGTGAGCCGAAGCTGCGAAGTCTCATCCGTTATTAGACCGATTACAATTCACTTCRTGGATTTTATTAAGATGTCTTTTACTTAAAGTGAGTGTGTACACATAGGCGATTTGCATTATGGCGTCATTTACTACAACTACCAGAATGCTTTGCCAACTTTCTTTTGTAATGCAATTAGTGCCAATTGTTTTCTTAGTCTCCAATGGGATTAAAAATCTGAATAACAATGAAAATGCACAAGGCTCTCTAGTAGTTGTAGTAAAGTTACGCCATAACGCAAATGGCCTATCCAGAACTTGTGCAAGGACAAATGAACAATGTAATTCCATACTTACTCGATTTTAAAACACAATTGTTAAGTTAAGTACAGTGCAAACACTAAAACCACGAAAAACTTTAGAAATGAAGTAGTGCAATATTGTGGTGAATTATGCGAATTTGTTTTCTGTTGTCTAGAATCTACGCTGTTCAATACCATGGACCGCTATTTGGTTATAGCATAAACATACTAATGGTCTATCACTCATACTGCGCTGTGATTGGCTACTCTACTAATGATCTAATTTGTGATAGACCACTAGCGGAAAAATCAAAAGTAAATAAAATCTAAATTATTTTAAGGATATTTCAATTTGTTTTCATTATTTGATCGATTAGTATGTTTATACTAAAACAATTAGACCTCTCAGCCTCGTGGATTTCGAGCTAATAGCCCATTCGGCCTCGCGGACTCGGCCTCATGGGCTATTAGCTCGTAGTCCACTCGACCTCGAGGTCTAATTGTTAAATAGCAAAGTCAAAACCCCGTGTGAAATAGATATTACACTAATACATCGTACTAAGCTTTAAAATTGCATTGTTTTCTTTTGTGTCTATTTGACTATCAAACCTTAAAAGTCAAATTTTGTTTCACGGATTTGGGGTGAATTCATGCAACCCGTGAAACATTTGCCTATTCTTATCTAAAAATGTGTGATAGTCAACTAGAGAGTACTAATTAACAATTAGACCTCGAGGTCGAGTGGACTACGAGCTAATAGCCCATGAGGCCGAGTCAAATAATGAAAACAAATTGAAATATCCTTAAAATAATTTATTAATGAGATGCCGCCATTTTGATTTTCCCGCGAGTGGTCTATCACAAATTAGACCATTAGTAGAGTAGCCAATCACATCGCAGTATGAGTGATAAACCATTAGTATGTTTATACTAATATCTATTTCACGTGTTTTTTTTAATTTACTCTAAGCCCGTGAAACAAAAGATTGAATATTTAAGTGTGATAGTCAAATAGTCACAAAAGAAAACTGTAATGCAATTAGAGATGTTAAATTGTATTAGTATGATATCTATCTCACTTTAGTATTTCAAATTATTTGACTCTCTCACGTAGCTATTTGGAATTGTTTCAAATTGAAATTCCGAAGAAAGGAAGTCAATGATTCTGAACGTTTCCTTTGCTTAGCGCTTTAGTAAAAGCGTGAAACATTAGTAATACTAGCTATTTTGTGCTATTTTATGTTTCTCAACTATTTGGTTTAGCTAGCKATATTTTGCGCAATTTGGTTATTGCTCTTTTAAAGAAAGTACTCTACGTTGACAATAGCAAAAAAAATATCAAGCTACCACCAATCTGTAAGAAACAACTTTGATTTTTCATTCGCGGTATTTACGTCTTAAGAAAATATATCACGATCTCCGATACAAGGTATCATAGCACAATTTAAGCCACACAAACGAGGATGTGCTCAATTGCATGTGATATCCGCCTCAAGKCCGAAATAACACAAAGCGCGGGACTTATTACAGAGTCATTTGGAAATTTCATGACGCAATAATTTCGAGTTGATTGCGCAAATTCAAGAAGAATCACCGGCTGCAARCGTACTTAGATTCTTTATAAGTCTAGCGATAAAGAGGCTTAATGTTAATGTGTTCATATGGGATCAAATCAAGGTACTCTTTGTGTGGAAGCTCTTAGCTTTATTGACTGTAAGGTATTGTTGTTATCACGAAACGACGGGATAAATAACCGCTTAAACAACGATCAAAACAATACAAASTCCCTCACACAAACAAAGGAAGCGACTTCACCTTGACACAGATTGAAACGATAGAAAGTTKTATGCTAGCGCAAGCTTCTAAAGCTGGACCTCTGTTAARCGGTCGCCATAGGGAAAAGAGAGAGTTGGCCGATTTACAGAGGGTGGTCGCTTAATAGAGGTCACGTTAAGAGTAAATATTTATGAGAAATTCATGTTGAGTGGTCGTTTAATGTAAGGTGACCGCTAAATAATTGGTCATAAAATGGAGGTTTTACTTAAACATCTGCTGTTTGGCACACTCGTTTATTTGATTTTGGAATTGGAAAATCCACTTTAGTTCACGAAAAATCACTGGAAATTACCATTTCTTATTGACGAACGTGGGCTGATATTGCAAATGCTAGCATATCTATGGACAACTTGAGTTTACGATACACTATTCCTATTGTATAGAAACCTGCCTTTACTCACGAGTCGAGAGCTCTCTTATCGCCGAAGGGATATAGAGAGATCAATAAAATATGATCTGGTTTAAGAGCAATCATATGATAATCTTTCTATTTGTCGTCAAATTCAATCTTACTTAAATTGATATATAAAAGTCATGCTTGAATGAAAGACCCTTCTTTTGTCTAAAGGACCATGTTTAACCGGCATTCAATGCGGTCGTGTTCTAGATTTTTCATACATTGGAAATGAAGTAAAAGAAGTGACTACAGATATTCTCAATCCGTTTCCATCCGTCTGTTTTAAGATCGAATCTTACAATATCTCCATTCATAGAGCATAAAATGGTTTTTCTCTCATATTGCGATGTATTTTTAATTTCAAATAATATAAAAAAAATCGAAAGAGACATCAGTTTAAGAACCCATAACTAAAAAAAGATGTAAAGATATCGAATTTTTAAAATAAAACTGCAAAGAAGCAAACTAAGTACTAAAAAAAAATGCTCCAAATTCACATTTTAGCGACTTTTTGTTTCATAATGGYCAGAAAAGCGGTGCCTGTGAGGCGACCAGTCACGTTTCAGATTACCCCTTTCATCCGGATATCTCAGCTCCGCTATTAGGAACAGGAAACCTATCCCTGGAGTACATGAAAATTAAAATAAWTCTTTCTGAATCTTRCTCGCCCCCGCTATTACGATCTGCCGGCACTGCGGGCATTAAATATAAGAGAGCTTTAGAWTCAAGTTTATTGAAATGCTAAATGTCAAACTAATCGCATATAAATTCTATATAAATTCGATCGTTTGCTCGAACAAAARCGCGTCGCTTTTCACTTTGAAGYRTTTTTGGTGTTAGATTGATTTTTTTAACCAAAGCTCTAAAGCTAAYTTGACGTTTGACGCTGAACGAAGACTCGAGGCTGAAAATAATTGACTATGGTAAACAGCAATTTCTTTTCAGATTTTTTTAAATGTCTAAGTGGTATTGATATTGGAATTGTGCTAGATATTTGGAATAAGGATTTTCGCGTATATTTAGAAGAAATCTGATAAAAATTCTAAGAAGCTACAATGATCTGGCTCAATAAATGTTCAAATTATTTCCTAATCTTTTTGCTGATCTACTTCAATAAGAACCAACAAACAATTTATTATCTTTAGCAACCTGTTTCATAATGAATGCACTCTATTACTTTGCATTTTCTTAATCACAAGATAGCCATCACGTGATCGACTAATCTCAACTGTTCCACTTAAAATACATCGCCTGTCAATCAAATTAGCAAATTAACCAATCAAATCACTTCGTTTGGGATCAATCTTTGTAAAACAAATTGAATGCGAATAAAAATCAATTGGATAAATGCGCCTTAAGGAGTTTTGAAGACCAGCATGTGAAAATACTTCTCAACTGAAGGGTGTTTCTTACATTGCAGATAAACACGATTGCTTTGTGCTCGTTGGAAAGCACTGTGAATTGAAGATAAAATCCTTGGCTGGTCTGTCATTGTAASTGATCTTCGGTCTTTAACACCGAGGAAAAAAAAAACACTCAATCAAGAGAAAAACAGGTGAATTCTTTCTTAATTCAAAGAATTGTTCGATCTCTGCCAGTAAAGAASTCATTGTAAATCAACAACAAGTGTCTTAAGGGTTTGGATTAAGTGCTATTTTAAAAGAATTGGTCGATCTCTAAAAACAGCGAAGAGAAGAGAAGAAACGACCACGCAAGATCACTAAAGCGGTCTGATTCAGCTTGACTTAAAAAGACACTGCCGACCTCCAGGTAATTTTACACAGCAAAAAAAGAAATTCGGCATTTTAAAGCGAAGGAAAYMRRAMMAAAAAAAAAAGGAGAAACACACCTTGAAACGCTTCAAATCCCTCACTGACTAAGGAAAACTCCTACACCCCTACACATTATCAATTGAATCGGTCAGTCGACCTCCTGCTATTCCCCACACCAAGATATTCCTGTTATATCAATGCCATAAATTATTCGTAAACTGTCGACGAAAGAAAKAAATAAAAACAATTATCAACTTTTCAGGTGAACAAGCATTGACGTCTTGGGAACGGCGAAGGGGACATCGTTAATTGCTGTATTTTATCAACCGCTCTAGGCAAGGAACATGTTTTGTATATTAGTGAACAATTATCCCTGAAGAAGTCTTGTATGACGACGCTAGGAAATCATATCTTATTCAAAACCAACGTGAGCGCATAAATAAAGGAAACTGCGAAGATTATTAAGGAAAAGAACTGCATTAGTAAGGAAGAGAACGAAGGAACACATTGGAGAGGAAAGAGCTTGGAAACTTGCTCTCAAACATTTAACGTAGCTTTACGAAAAGGAATTTCTTTGAATGCTCTTCTCTGCTTAAAAAAATAAGGTAAGGATTTGATTATATTAACTTCCTGAAGTTCAAAACAACAACATTTCCAATAAATCAACAATATACATTTTATCTGAAGATAATCAGAATTACACTTAATTAGATTTATTGAGACTTAAACTTAAGTTTTCGCTTGAGAATCTAATTTTTGAAAAATARCTGGTATTTTCCGATCCGAAATCATTTATTGCGAAAACATACAGTCGGTTAAGTCAGTGAAGCAAACWGCGATAGTCCCGCCACATACGGACATTACGTTCAAAATTTCATTCAAAAATCGACAAGGAATAGACTAAAAGGAGCCTAAAAAAACATGTAAGTAAATTACCACACTCAAAACATTCGAGTTTGAAGGAATCATTCATTTACTCAGAGTACTTAATAAATTCACAATTTACATAACAAACTAGAGCATGCTAGAGGCCAAAGCCAATCCATACACGCCATCGCAGGTAGTTTTCTGAGAGTTGWACGAAACCCAAACCACTTAATCTGATAAATTCTTCTGATAACCGTAGAAGTATTTTCTTTAAGGGATTATGTTTCCTGATACATAAAAGTCAAGTTCCCGGCTTCAATACCCAGGGATGTCCTTAGTGYTCAATCAAACGCGAAATCAAAGAAGAGATTTGATAAGASTARAGCAGGATTAGGCGGATCAATTATTATTGACGTCAATGTCGAATTCCTTCCATTTCCGAAGGTGCTAAAATGAACTAGACTGATAATGGAAGGGTGGACTTAAGGTGGGGTTGATGTGGGCATGAGATCGTCAATTGTCGCGTTTAGATAACTGCGCATTTTCCTTTCTTGATTTCTCAGTCAAAATTGCAAACAATAYCATTATACAGATACAGTTGTTTTCCAAAAATTAATTTTCGCGAAAATTGGAGATTGCTTGAGCAACCAGGCGATCCTACGACCGAAAGGAGGTATGGGTGTCCAATATCGATGGAATTATTACCTTATGAACGTAATGATCAATTCGAATCAATGAAAATGTATCAATTGTAAATATTTACCCGCTCAGACCTCTAAAATTTCTGAGATTTCACATCTAAAGCCTTAGGGTGCTTTCCATTTAGGCAGAACTGGCCGGCCAGTCCACTCTATTTAGAGGTATATAATGCTTTTTGTCAACATTTTTCAGTCATTTCGAGGTTTTCTGTACAATAATGGATAGAATTTGAAAATTTGAATTTAATGAACTAAATGGTAATGATATATAATGACATTTTCTCTGAGTCTGGCCAGACAGTTCTGACAAATGGAAAGCGCACTTATTAATACTAATTTTCTTTGGGTCGTACAGTCGCCCTTGTTGATGACCAATCGCAATTTTCTCGATCCGACATGAGCATAAATTATACATCACATCACACAAAATCCTATCACAGATAGGTAGCTATTTCCAAAAAGGTTGTCGAGTAAAATGTCGAATGCCAATTGTCGAACGGCGAATGCACGACCGAAAGTAACCATGGGTTTTTCTAATCGATGAGAAATAACAACTGATTTACACTGTAAGATAGTCTATGGTAAGCACTATCTCTATTTAATCAACATTTCTATGCAAGGTGAATCCAATAAGTGAAATTTTGTTCGTCAAAACACAGTGTTAACATAGTACTTTCGGCTATGCAATTTCCCTTCGACAATCGCCGTTCGCCGTTCTCCCTGACAACGTTTTTGAAATAGCTGTATAATTTGCACACTTCTCCTACATATTCTCACACGTCTTCTACGTATAATTTTGTCTTTGTTTATGCTTGGCGGCCAGAAATATGGCGGTTAGCAACCGTTGTTAGGAGTGGTGTTACTTTGATGAKAGCATACAGCAACTGACACCGAGCCGCAAATTAAAAGATAATATCGCTAATTTTATTGAGTTAAAAAACCATGACCTTCCAACAACTTTAGAAAGTACCAAATAAATGATAAACTGAAAATATTCATGTTAAGAAATTCGAGAATTTCGAAGCATCAAAACACGAGTAGATGGTATAAATACTTATATTTCGTCTTGATTTTTAAAAGTCATCATCCGAGTAAAGAGTAACTAAGTCACAAAACTATATTTAGGGAAAAGTCAAAATGGTTGGAATAGTAGAGGCATTGAGGTTTGTCGTTTATTTTGTACTTTATTGAATTTATTTTGGGGTTTTCTTTTCATATAGACCTAATCGGCTAACGCGTTGCTATGTACATTTCCACCCAATTCAAATCCTGTGGGAAAAAGAGCTTTTGTTTCTAAGAATTCAACTGCGAGATAAAAATAGCAACGAGCAGTGAAACTTACTCCCCGGTGGTTTGAATTGGGTGGAAACGTTTAGAGCAACGCCGATTCGGTATTTTGTTTGTAAAATAGTACATTAATATTCTGACTTGATTTTTTAGGATGAACGAAACACAAGGCAACTTCACAGACAACATCGACCAGCAAACCTATCTTGCTCTAGTAGCATCATTAAGTTGCATGTCAATCACAATCGTCGCGACCAATGCGTTTGTTTGCGCAATAGTCTACCTCAATAAGACTGTACGGACATGTACAAACTGCTTTGTGGTCTCACTCGCAGTATCAGACATTATAATGGGAGCTTTCTTCTTTCCGTTACACATCGCTGTACCGAGTTTCAAAGGCATTGGCATCTTGACGGCTGTTTCTCTTCTAGTAGGCGTTGCCAACGTAGTCTGCTTGACATATGATCGATACCTGTCAATCTCATCACCTCTGACGTATACTATGGACATTCAGCATCGGTTTAAGAAAATGATTGTGCTCTGTTGGGTAGTGCCCATTCTCTACGCGTTCATACCGCTGGCCTGGAATACCCGAACAGATAATTTGGCTCACGTTATCTATACGTTTACAATGTCGATCTGTGGTGTTATAATTCCATACATATTCATTTTCTCTGTGTATTTCTACATCTTCAAACAGGTTAAGAAATGTAGTAAGCGCTTGCAAACTGAGCTGACTGACCAGCGGACTGTCACTAATAAGAAGACCCATCTATTCATCGAGCTGAAGGTCGCAAGGGTTTTTATTGTCATTGCAAGTATATTCTTATGCTGTTGGGCGCCTGTATTGTATATAACCACTGTTGAGAACTTYAGAAAGCCSCACYTGGCACCACAGGCAGTCCACATTACCGCGTTCTATATGCTTGCTCTAGAGTCTCTMGTAAACCCCTTCATATACTGTTTTCTTAAACCGGACATTCAGTCGGCCYTACGGCGAACACTAAAAAAAACCTGGCGTCGGGACATGACGATTCGATTCACCTCCAAGGCTATCGACAACGGGATTGTAATCGGGACGAGTAATACCAATTTAAGGGTTAGTAATAATGGAAGCAGTGGACAGCTTAATGCTCTATAAGGTTATTTATGACTTMATTTTGAGGATCGGCAACCGGCATCCTTTGCGGGCTTGTGTTTATGTTTAAAAATCAAAATGCATTATAATATATTTGATAAACTTACTCTTTATAATCCCTTTATGATCTATGAATGGATATGATTTAAATTTCGATCTTAAAACCGACGGATKAATYTCTTCATTCGTGWATGAGAAATCTAAATAMGACCGCATTGAATGCTGGTTGACCAGGCCCCTTTAAGCGTGCACGTAAGAAGATATTGATTAGAAACAAATATTAGCTTTCGCATTGTCATTAGCACAMKTGAATCAAGCCGTGTAAATATAGTGCTAGMCTGTGTAAATCCATTCCCACCCCTCMTCCCATGCGGGGAAAATTCAAGGAGGAATATTCCCACTAGGGRAARGGATAGGAKACGGATGTACACATGTTGATATATGTTGAAGTCAATGCCATAAACGTTGTTTACTAGTAAAGACATAAAGACAACAACAATGTCATTTTCATAAAATGTTGTTGTTTTTTATTTCAATCTCAGCGAAAAATTTTGATTTAAATCTCCAGATCATAAGCTTGCAAGTTAAAATGTTATTGGCATCGCCATAAAGGTTGGGAACTTAAGCTTGAATAATTTTCAAGAAAATATACAAATATGATATATGYGAATGACTTCGTTGTTGTCTCTACGTCTTTAAAATTGAACAACATTACTGTGATCGACTGTGTATTGAAAAAATATACTCTTGTTTTAAATGGCCAGAGCCTATAGCGATGCATTGATGTCAGATATCGATTGATTTTCGACTTTGATGTATGCCATGAAATAAAGTAGTGTGGAGAACAAGTTATACGAAGAGCGAAAAGCGCTATCTAGGGAATCAAATCCTTACCAAAAAGATAAAATCCATACAAAATCCAACCACCATTTGAACAACTGATACCCTGGCCACTGATTGGCTGATCGGCGTCCTTTAAAGACTGAACGAGTGTTTTGATTGGCTGAGAATCGCGATTCATTTTATTTGCTTCTTTTGATAAATAGCGACGCAATTTCAAGAAGAATTGTTCCGAAGTGAATAGCTCGCCTTCTATGGAAAGATGTTTGTTKTGCTGCATAATAGAAAGAGGCATGTCAGCATAGAACAGTTGCTAATTTTAACTGCCGCTAGTTTTGGAATTGGCCTATATCAAACTAGTATACAATTTATATTGCTGAGTTGTAGCGTGTACAAACTTGTAAAAAACATAAATAATTATAAACTAAGTTGATACAAAAAATATAGAGAAAAACCAATGATTATATAAGATATTCCTTCAGGATATTTTGACAATTAAGATTGCAAAGAGCGCGATGACAGAGATAATTACTATGAAAATTTGGATCTGAACGATTTGTTAACAATTAAAACAAATCGCTTCAGGTATTACTTGATTTTAAATGGCTCATTCGGGGGTGAATTCCTCCGGACACATAAAATTTTACGATTATTCTTATTTGATTATATAAGTATCAAAAGTTGCGATTACAATCAATGGCCATATTTGGTCAGACATTGTATTCCTTCGAAAATGTGTAAAACCAATGTTTTTGTTAAAAAAATACACATTCGAGGTTTGTAGAGCGATCGCACTTAAACCGTACAACTGTACAAAATCTAAGTAGTACTAATTTTTACTAAAAGTGGACCTGAACCAAGATAGTATTGAATGCTTCATTTGTATCAATTCAATTCAATTTGCGTACCGCATGAACAATTTTCTAAATGCAACTAATAAGCACTATTTAGTTTGTATAGTTWCACGGTTTAAGTGCGATCACTCTATAACTCTTATGTATTTAAGGTAAATAAAAATTTGTTTGAAAAGATAATGTGCTTTCGTGGATAATATTTTAAACAAAATATTACATGGTCGCTTGGAGATACGAATTTCAACTTCTGTGGTGTTGAAATCTTCAACTCTTTTTTTTAGCACTCGGAAATAAAATCAGTTTCTCAGAGTGTACAAGTATTTTGGGTCGACACAAAAAGGTTGGCCTTTTATAGTTCGATTGATATCATTCTGGTAGAGGTCAATCACTAGAATCGTGGAAAAGCGCTAAACAAATAGTGCTAGATAGCACAAAATAGTGTAGATTAGGAAATAAAATACAAACCAGTTCACTTTGAATTCAGTAGAATTTACCAATAGAGTGTCTTTTGCTTAAAGGGTGAAACATTATTTTGAAATACTGTTTTGTAGTGTTTTGTGTTAATTCTTTTAAATTCTTTTGTTTTCTTTTGTTCAACTAGCACCATTAAGTTATTATTACTATTGCTAGTATTATTATTTAGTATTTAGTGTTTCACGCTTTTACAGAAAGTACCCTATCTAATAGGTAACTTTTTCATGGTTTTAGTGTTTGMACTCAAGTGAAGAAAYATAAAATTAAATGATATTATATTGTAAATTTGAATAAAACTGTGTTATAGAAATAAAATAAAGTGTACAAATTATTACAACGTATTGTATAAATCATGTACAATGCACCAAAGAGCTTTCTRATTTGCGAAAAAGAACTAAACTACGTTAAATTGTACGTATCCATATACTGGGTTGAAAGATAACCTTATCAGTTCAGGTATATTGCTTGGCAAGTATATCAAATAGGACTTAGTGTTGCGAATTGAGGATGTTACAAGGTCTTACAAAGAGGGTGGGGGTGAGGGTGATAAGTATGGCAGTTACGAATGCAGGTGGAAGAATTTATTTCAGATGAAGGCTGCATTTCACATTCCCAGAAATTCGATACAACATGGCGCGACGCATGCGCATTAATTATCTGGTCGGCTAATCCACGGCATTTTAATGAGCAATAAAATACAAAGAAATGTATGTAATACTTTATTCATCTTCAAATATTTCTGTTATTTTTGACGTTCGAATTTTCCCACAAATCGTATTTTGAAGNGCTTGGCAAGTATTTTTAAAAATAGGACTCAGTGTTGTGCATCGAGGATGTTACAAGGTCTTACAAAGGGGGTGGGGGTGGGGGAATAAGTATGGCAGTTACGAATGCAGGTGGAAGAATTTATTTCAGATGAAGGCTGTACTCATTGTTTGAATGAGCATGAGTCCATTTCAGATTTCATTTCTTCTTTTATTCATTCGCTCAGAATTATTTTTCTCTACATTTTTGAGCCCCCAAAAGAGGGGTTAGGCACCCGAATCACCCCTTCTGGATCCGCCATTGGAACTTCCTGACCGCTGAACCTAATAGAGAGGCCCAAACAATTATCAAAAGATCGTAAGGATGTTTATCGCGTTGAAAAAAAGTAAATCGGGAACACACAAAAGAACGGAAGTAACTTTTAAGAGCCAAAACGAGCGTAAATGAGTCGAATCACCGGAAAACCATAGCGAATGGGAAGACCAACGGCAAGATCAAAACATAACATGAGTTTCCGTATAACCTGCCATATCGTGTTATTTGTGTACATTTTCAGCTAAAAACATAACCTATTTTTACTTCTTTTCGACTCRTTTATTAGGGCGTAGCGGAGATATCGTCCCTATCGCGTCAAAATACGGCTTAAATTGTTAAAACTCTTTATAAAGCTAGAACAGTGCAAAAAAACTCGATAAATCAAGGAAATGCTATGGACTCTATTATGCTTTACAGAAAATAAAACGCTCGCTMAACTGCTTCGAAGAATATCGACGCCATGTTGGTCACGGATGAGTGAACAAGAACATCACTCATGCGAGAAATGTTTTGCTATCTTTAACTTGACGTTTCATGACGTGCGTGCACACTAAGAATAGGTCTGAAAGGAAATAAAGATAAAGAATCAGAGAAGYTCACTTTATTTAGACTACATAGATTTATATCGACTGGTTTAATCACTGAATTGTTACTTTTTGAACTTTTTTTATCCGATTATGAAACTTATCACAAGGTTATTGATCATGGAGCTTCGCTTTATTTCTAGGCCGAGTAATCTTTTGAAATCAGGCCCATAATTGATAATTTGTGACTTAGCGTGAGGGCTATACAGGAATTACTCAAGGTCATGTCGTAAGGACCGGCTGAGCGGATACAGTTCGGCAGTCAACTCTCGCTATTACGGACACCCTCGGGACTGTAATTTAGTGTCCGCAGTAGCGAGAGTTCGTAGTAACGAGAGGTACTTTCAGTCATTTATTTTTATTATTCGCCGAGGACTCAGTATTTTACTGTCTGCAATATCGGGGTGTCCGTAGTAGTGGGGTGTCCGTAAGGCAAGAGTTGACTGTAGTTTGGTAGACCCGATTGCTTTATTGTTTTCCTATAGGATTTTTTTAGGATGAACGGGAGCGTCAAATACGGGCTATGTAAGAAATAGCTAGTTCTAAT